GGGTCTTTTGATGTGAATGAATCTACTGACCGTTCAGTTACCGATACGCCTTTTATTTGTATTCGGTGTAACAAGCAGTTCATCAACTTAGAACCTTTGGTTAATGATTCAGCATCGACGACATTGTCCTACTCAAATGAAACTTATTATATTATTTATATTCGGACTATTGTCCTCATCTTTGTTATTGTTATCAAGTTCATCAGGTGTAAATCAATCTATATAAGCTATAGGGAATTCTGAAATGAACCCTTTATTTAATCTATTGGTGTAAACTGTTTTCGTTTCACTGATTTCGTTTAGTTCTTATTTTTATCTAGTACTGTTCAATTATTGCTCGCTCGTTTCAACTGAGTACAAATACGGCCCAGGATTCGAACTCACAATCACCATGTCATAAAGTTAACAAACCACTAGGCCAATTTGCTGTAGTTAATTTAGACTCTTAAACCTAACCTGGCTGCTGATTAGGTTGAAACTGCATCGATTTGGCCACCGAGGGCAGACCTACTCAAAACTGATTGTTTTTTGTTATTTACTGTGTGAGAATTGGTCGGAAGCACACGCAAGAAAATGACTATATACAAGTCTAATGGGCAAAACAGTAGTACGCAGTCCAATAGGCAAACCAATTCCACAAATGCTGACTATCCACATTCCCCAATCGCATGTAAGCAACTTCTCTCGCCAATAACTAATATACCATTTAAAATATTGAGAATAAGTGTATGTAAATAATACTGTTGAGTTTGAGGTCAGCCTGAACCCATCCACTTAATGCCAATAGCTAATATACAACGTGAATAATAACAATATTTCATCGAATAGATTTAAATAATTTACGACTAATATATCTAATACTATTAGGTCTGAAGCAACAGCGATAAAATATATTAAAAAAATACACTATGGACCAAAAGTTTGGAGAAACTCGCTGGATTTAATAATTATTAAGGTTCAAGTCTTATTTGGTTTAACACCTGCTAAGATAGGATTTTGAAATTATTTGACCCATAAGTGCATGACGTCCAATTTTAAATCCGTCAGCCCTAATATTTGGCAAAAAGAATTAAAATTTTAAGGGAACTTATGCAGTAATGGATTAATATCGTCATTATTAATATTATTATTGAATATACCGAGTGTAACAGCAAAATTGTCCAAATAATGAAACAGCATAATTAACCATTCCACAAAATGTTTAATATCTAAAAAAAAAAAAAACAAAAAAAAACCCACTAAACTAATTGAGTTTCATTTTCCACGTTTTCAGATAAGACGTTTAGCCATCTTCACACCATTTGTCGTAAGAAACACTGAAAAACCCTTTGAGTTATTCAGCTAAAAAGAGAACAGGTTAAAATCGTTTTGTGTCAGATCTACTATATCTTCCCAAATGGGCAATGATGAGAGGAAAAAGATCATTGAGGCCTTCAGTAATGGTACCAACATTCATACTCTCTCTTCCATCTTCAAAGTCCATTCAAGAACCATCAAGAGAACGGTGAATAAGTTTAAAAAAGAGGAAACAGTAGAGAGGAAAACTGGATCAGGAGGTCACAACAGCAAGAGGGATCACCATTTCAACTTAAAGCTAAAGAGATCAATTAGAAAAGAAAGTACTGGTGCTGCTCGCCTATTTACTATTTGTAAAGGATGTTTTTTGTATGTAGTTACTTTGTTTCCAGGGTCCTTCGGTTACTCCTATGTATATTTTTCTTCGTTATCTGCTGATTTTACAATGGCTCGCTATATTATATCGTTCTACCAGCAATTGTTGGATAATATACACTATGACACACTGGATCATAAAATAAATTTTTTTTTTCACAATAAAACCGCGGCGCTCATTGGCTATCCTTTTGAAATTCATTCGGCTCTTTTGATTAGCGTAAAATGTTTTTGTTTTGCTTGGTGCATTTGATTTTATTATTTTAGAGTATTTTGTGTCATTTTAAATTGTTCGTCTTCTTTTATTTCGGCTTATCAACCCTTTTTAGGTTATTTAATGCCGGAACATATTTTGGAGTGTATTTTTTTCGTGTGTGAATAATTTATTAACAATTTTCTGTGACTAACAACCATTTTTCTGATGCAAGTCCTACTATTCAACCCATAGCTGGGGTAGGGTATGGATTCATATCTTTATCAAATGTACTCCCGCGTAAGGAAATGCAAGGAAACTTTCTGGAATTATAAATCAGCTTTCCGATTTCTAAGGTCCATTCAGTATAGCGAAAAAGTACAAGTAGAGAACTTCCAAATCAAAATTGCTATCTTTTAGTCATCATAGATAACTATTTTTCCTTCCATTAGTATGGCTGATGCTACCCTCCAAAATTGTAACTCCTTGCGGCTTCTTTGTCTCACGTTTTCCACAGACATGAAGTGGAGTGATTATATTGAATCAATTGCTGTAAGGAAAGTTGGTTCACAGTGCCAGACAATATTTCTCCTCAGAATTCATTTTGCATATTTATAAATCTACCATTTGTCCGTGCATTGGATATTGCTGACATATCTAGTCTGGTGCTCCGGTTATATATGTTGATATTCTCGGCAAAATCAAAAGAGGGTCTGTAATGTTATCGGTCCTGACCTGGCATCTCGACTTCAGCCACTTTCCCACCGCTGTGACGTGGTTTCTCTGTGTTATATTCCAGAATTATTTTCGTGACAGTTGTCCTGAGTTTTCTTCCTTGCTACCAAGACTGCGTGAATTTAAGCGTACTACTAGATTGGCAATTCGGTCCCATGGTTTGATTGTTGTAATAGCTAAATATAACCATATCCTTACCATTTTTGTTTTTCCTGAAGGCGGTAAAGGGCTTACTAAGCGTGAACGGATAAGAAAGAAGAGAAATATTAAGAGAGGGAATCAAGAAGACAGTAAATAACGATTGACACTGCATTTAAATTTCAGATGTTACTCCATCTCATGATCAGCCAAGGTACTAAGCAAAAACTCCTGGCAGCATGTAAACTTCTATGCTACTCTTATCGTTGTCACCATTTCCCAACTCGCTATCTATGCCGATGGCACAACTATTTACACATGTCTTCGTAGTAAATCCACTTGGTCCGAAAATGTAGAGCTGGCAGATTATCTCGAAAATAATCTTCAATTAGTTGTTAACTGGAGCAAGAATAGGCTTGTAAATTTTAATGCCGGATTTGTCATGTACGCTGAGGGCAAAACTTACCATTACGATTACAATATTTTAATTCCAATATTTGATTAAGCACGCTATGAATGCTGCTCGGTACGTTGGCTCACTGTCTCGTTCCAGATAATTCTTCTCCTCAGAATCCATCTTGTACATTTATAAATCCACCATTCATCCGTGCATTGGATATTGCTGCCATATCTGGTCTGATGAAGAGAAATATTATCAACGAGCAACAACAACAGAAGAGTAATCAAGAAGACGGTAAATAACGATTGACACTGCATTTAAATTTTTGAAGACCACTGTTAGTCGGAAAACGAAAGAGAATTCCACAAGCAAGAAGTACGAGAAACGAGCCTCTTAACATAGAACTTACAGTTACACCTAGTAAATTCAACTTGAGATCTTGCCTTTAATCTAGTACTGCTCTTAAATTTATAAATTCTAGGTACCATAGCGGAGAGTTCGTCGGAACAATTACCATGAAAGTATTTATAGAAAAGGCAGAGGGAAGCTACGTTACGGTGCTGGGGAAGTAATTGAAGCTGAGACGTCAGGTCAGGACTAGTAATATTGATGGATTTTAGTTTTCAGTTACTCATTCATGTTAAAAGTCATTGCTATACAACTAATGAATTCAATAATAATGAACAGCAAAAAAGTGAAATAAAATACGTATGACAACACAATATATGATGTGGTATGTGACACTCCCGCCTTGCTTGGGGGTGAAATGCTTAAAAAAATGTGACGGTGTGCGAACAACGTCTGGGAATACGAAAAGACGATTTTCATTTCTACAAAATCAATATAAAATAAATAATAAAAATGATGCAACTTTTATATTTTTCTAGTATCTCTAAATAGTAGAAGGAGCACCGGAACATATGTAGTAGCAATATTCTAAGAATTGATGAATGGTAGACTTATAGATATATAAGATAGATTCTGGAGAGAAAAATTGTCTCGCACGATAGAGTAAAGCAACTTTTTTAGCAACAAACTTCGCAATGGATTCAGTATAATCTTTCCACTTCATGTCCTCTGAGAAGGTAAGCCGGAGAAGTTGCAAAGAGTCGTTCTGTTGAGGGTTAGCATCAATTAAGGCAGCACTCAGATGATTAATAGTGAAAATGTTCGAATGTCTGTTACGAAATCTTGAATTATTCGGGAAACATATTAGAAGAATCCACAGCTTATACTGGGAGCAAATTGCTTTCAATCGGATAGAAAATGAATTGAGTATACAAAAATAGATAAGGGTTTAAGACAAAGATGCATTTTCATACTGGATTTATTCAACTTTTACAGTGATACAGGCTTACAGCCACATAACGTTGAACTAGCACCGAGGCCAGCGAAACCGACTGTTGCGGAGGCTCAAGGATTTTTTTGTCCTTGACCTGAGTTTACGCTCTCGGGTTCCCCATGTTAAACCCTGACCATGTGCCGCATCCCGCCTCAGTGGGAAGGCTACGTGTAGATACCCCTATAACTTTGAGCTCGCACCGAGGCCAACGCTACCAACGGTTTCGGGGGCTCGGGAAACTTTTTTCTTTGGCCTGAGTATACGCGTTCGGGTTCCCCATGTTAAACCCTGACCATGTGTCGCATCCCGCCTCAGTGGGAAGGCTACGTGTATAATATTTTATAACTTTGAGCTCGCACCGAGGCCAACGCTACCAACGGTTTCAGGGGGCTCAGGAAACTTTTTCTTTGGCCTGAGGTACGCGTTTTTTTCCCCATGTTAAACCCTGACCATGTGTCGCATCACGCCCTAGTGAGGAAGGAACCTTGAGTAAATATCCATAACGTTGAAATACCTGGCACATGGCTGGTAGGTTTTATTATCTCACAGTTGCGTTTCTGTCATCAGGCAGAGTGTGTCTCAGTTGTAGCTCCGTCAGAATGCAGAGCCGCAAGTATGGGTGAAAATAATTTTATTTGTGAGCTGCCCAGCCCCGGGGAACAGCTGTCCAAAGCTACACCCTCTCATGGCACTAGAGAGAGGGATCGGTACTCGCACCGAGGCCAGCGCAACCGACGGTTCCGGGAGCACGGGGAATTTTTGTCTTTGGCCTGAGCCTACGCGCTCAGGTTCCCCACTTTAAACTCGACCTTGTGTCACATCCCACCGCAGTGGGCGGGAACATGGCTGAATACTCTTAACTTTGAAATACCGGTTTCCGTATGATCACTGAAGTTAAGCAATGTCGAGCCTGGTCAGTACCTACATGGGTGACCGCTTGTGAATACCAGGTACCATAAATTTGAATGTGCAGGTGTTGTAATGGATAATGGCGCAGAATTGTTAATCGGGGAGCCGAGTTTCAATTTCAGGTTGGGTTTTTTGTAGTCCCTTACGGTAATTGTTCTGATGAACGTTCCTCTTTCTTACCTAGACTTACACGTAAATACCCTTGGGAAAGGTATCAGTTCACCTCTTCTCCCACTAGATATGAGTTAATTAGTAAGACTTGAAACCATTAGTATATACCAAAAAACCTTACAAGCTAAAAATATTTTATGGCTTTAAATAACCTGCAAAGATTGATAAACCGTAAAAAAAAAATCAACCATCTAACCAACAGCGAGGCAATCCTAAGAAAATCCTACCAGGACTTAATATCTGTGGACACAATCTTAATAATATAACATACGCAGATGACACTATGTTGATAGCAGGCACAAAAAAGAAACCACAGGAAATTCTAGACGAGATTCTAAAGAAAAGCAAGAAGAAAGGACTATATGTTGTAAGAAGACAAAATGTATGGGTGCCATAGTTCTTTATGTTGGTACCTTGTTGAACAAGGAAAATCCGCTTGGAGTCTATTGCTAGGTTTCTGATTGGTTAGTGAGACGTCGTATTCTTTTGGGGAGGAGATCTTGTTTCTGACTTGTTCACACAAACGAACTTGATGGTCCAGCGATTTTCTTTGTTCGGTACATTTCGATATTTTGCCTATTTTTAGTCGCCACTGTGACACTTTCGTAATTAATTGCCGTGTCCATAAAACATACATAAATTTTTAAAAAATAATTATATGGTAAAAAAATAATTATAATAAAATAATTATAACAATTATAATCATCATTAATTCACTCATTCTAAACTAATAAGAATCGACCTCACTTTCTTCATCTACGAACACAAACGCGTGACATTCTCATAAGGGGGCAAACAGTCAACACGGACAGGCTGTCAACACGTAAGTCAACGAAAATTTCGGCTCCTTTTCCTTTTTCAGGCTATAATAGTAATATTTTTATCTTAGCATTTAACAAAAATTCGAGTTAAGAAAACCCCAGACATTTCTTATATTTTCTTCTAATTTATCGGGACACTCATTACACGCATCTATATATATAGATATATATATAATTATTTATTTAAAAATATGATTCCAACTCGCGACATAAGAGGTCTCATGTTTCAAAACAAGAGCCGAAATCTTCAATATAATTATTTGAATTAAATTGAGTTAAAGTAAGCTCTGTTTCATCTTCAAGCGAAATTTTTTTTTGGAATAACTTATTTCTGAAATTTACGTGTTTTAATAGTATATTCATAATTGAAATCAAATTTTCCATGGTAACAGCTAGGGCGAATTGTTTAAATTGGGTAGGGTGTGTTGGGTGTTAATAATAAGTATCAATATATAGTTACTTTCATAGATGTCAAGTCAGGGTAAGGTGGGGGTGTCTAAATTTGAAACGGAAGATGTTTTCGCCTAGTCTGGTTTACGTGTTTGGAGATTTTTTTTATTTTATTTCTTTATGAAAGGGATTTGTGCATATAAAAAAAAAAGAAAAACCGTAACATTTGTTTTTTTTTTGACGACTTCATAAAGGGTTACCTTTTTTGTAGGGTATTTAAACTATTTATATGGGTTATAGATTATAAAAGTTATTATACTGTATGCTTGTTTTTAGCTAATTATTCAAACCATGAATTTGATAATGTCGACAAAAAACAGTTAACTCATGTCTATTGTTTAAAAGATTATTATTATTTAGAAACTTAATAATGTGCAGTTTCTCATTGAGGCACAAAGGGCATGGGTCATCCCAAGTTTTAAAAACATACATGAAATATTGTATACACTTTACTTTTTCCGATCCATATTTGATCTACATTTAACCATTTTATCTAGTATTACTCTTTCTCATGTACCCAACACTACATAAAAACCAGATAATAAATAATATTAGTTTTGTTGATTCCACGTTTTGTGCTTTCTCATTTTTAGGAGTATTTTTGTATATATAAAAGTAAGGGCGATATAATTATTTACTCAGAGTAATAACTCCCTTACAAAATACAAAGAAATATCTGCTGTATTATTGGTCCTGACCTGGCATCTCGGCTTCAGTCACTTTCCCACCGTCGTAAAGTTGCTTCTCGTGTCTTTTCTATAAATACTTTCGTGGTAATTGTTCTGATGAACCTTCCAATATGGTAAGTATGCTCATTGGCCTCCTTTTATTTCTGTCCCGATTTTTTTTTTTTTTTAAGTTTAATTCCCCATCCCCTCCCTCGTTAGGTGATCAGTGATGTCAGTTCGCTGGTGGATGCGGGGCGCCTTTCGTTTTCGCGTGAGTGCTTTTTTCGTATTTGTTGTGTCTGAATGAGTGCATGTCAGTGTGAGTGATTGGGATGAATGAATGGTTTATACTATTATAGTCCCGCATTGATTTCGGACAGGGAAGTGATATTTCTGTCACATTTAGTAATTGTGTGTGTGTGTGTGGGGGGTATTACTAATCTTATTTTCTTTAGTTTCTTGTAAATAGTTTTTTTGTATGCATAGTGTAAATACTCATTGGGGTCAACTTTTAGAATTGTTGTTTTATTCCCTTCCCCCTCCCACAGACAACGAATTGTAAATATGGGGACTAGTTAGTATTTTCATAGAGACAAAGAGGTATTATGGTGGTTGTAGTAAGAAAGGTACGAATGAATGTGTTGTTTTGGTGTAAGGAAGATTGTTGCGTACGATTGGGTCAGTGCTTGCGGCTAGCTAGGTTATAGTTAAGACAGAACAAGACCGTCCTTTCCCCAACCCCCTTTTCGGCCTTGTGCCACATTTCTGTATTGTACAGAATAAATAACACTTTCCAATATGGCACCTAGACTTTACGAATTTGAGGGCAGTACTAGATTGCCAGTAAGGTCTCATCATTTTACAGTTGAAACGGCTAGTTCTACGCTAACAGTTTCTTCTGTCGCACTTCTCGCCTGTAGCTGCCTTAAATTCTATTTTAACAGTCGTGCTAATAATTTTATATATCTAAATTTAAAAATAAATATCAATAACAGTGCTATTATACAGAGGGTGTCCATAAGGCCCGTGTGCATTTTAAAGTACTCGTAGATTTGTAATTATATGTGATAGAAACAATTAGTGAAAACGATCAGAAACAAGAATATTTAAGTATAATATTGGGATGGTTAATTTTCAATGTTCGTCATCATGACGCATATGAAGGGTAAAACGATTGTGTAGCTGATTTAAAATAATATCTTTACTCGCAACAATTACCCTGGCTTGTACTTTCTCTAAAGATTGTGGGTTACACCTATTGGATTTTCCAAACACGCTTGTTAAGGTGCGGTCTTTAAGTTTTTCGAGTGTAGTCGACCGTAGATAAATAATACTGCCGCTGGGGTGTTTTCACTTCCTTGGTCCCCTGTTGACTTTTGAACTCTCTCACACACGCCCATACACATACATTAAATCAAGCACATTTTCATAGCTAGTTTCAATGTATTTTCCTTTCATTTTAATTGTGTACACATGCAATTACTTTTATCAATGCATGCATATAACTGCTGTTTGTTTTGAATTCATTTTTTTCTGTTATTATTCTTATCCTGACTCATATGAGTCCGCCAATATTGTTTTTAAAATTATTTTAAATGTTCCCGGAGCCCATAGATATTTGGTGACTGACCAAACGCCGTACAAGATAGAAACGCGCAAGAAGACCGAGGCTTAGTTTAAAAAACATTACTTTTCACAAGTGCAGTGAGTGTGAAATAATAATAACTCCTTTTACCTAAGTCCTTCAAATTCGGAGGACCGAGGAAAAAGACGGAAAGGAATTCGTGCGCCTATATGAAATTTTCTTTTTACCAATGAAAACATTGCCTTCACACAAATTGACCAGAGTGGGGAATAAATTTAGAACGTTGTGGGAAATTGCTTTTGTACCAATAAAAAACTTGTTTTCACAGTAATTATCCGTTGATCCGAGAAGAAAAAAAAACAGAAACTAGTGAGCCTATGTGAAATCCTTTTTCATATAAAATGAAGAGAAAAATTGAATAAGTGCAGACTGTCTAAACTCATGAGAAAGGTTTCGTTTCAGTTCCTCGCGACGACCGTTCAATTTCTTCCCAGTGTAAAATTACACGTCAATTATATATTCTGCTTTTTAGAAAGCACGTGTCTCTTCAAAACAATTCTTTCGACAATCTAAACAAGTTAAGTATTTCAAACTATCTCTCTTCGTCTCCTTTTAAAACTATACAACCTTATATCCCTTCAATGAGCAACGAACTTTCTTACCTTTGTTTAAATATTTTGAATATTATTTTTTTGTCAGATCATTTAGTCTGTTGTATGAACATTTCCTCTTCATGGCAATCCGTTAAAACTACAGGCTTTATAAACTTCTGATTATTTTCCTGAAACGAACTACTGACACTACTTCAAGCGTGTACATCTCTATCTATAAAAGGCAGGATGTGTGTGTGTGTGTGTGAGTGTGTGTGTGTGTGTGTGTGTGTGTGTGTGTGTGTGTGTGTGTGTGTGTGTGTGTGTAACGAATACACGGCCGCAATTTTCGACGGATTTGTACCAAAATTTACATGCACATGCTCCAAGTTAGCGGGAAGGCCAAGACCGACTCTGCATTTCCCAACTCCCATCGATAGCAGAAATAATCGATTTTTTCATGCTTCTACGGCAGTTTTCATGTGGTTTGCGGCCATTTTCTATTGGCCAGAGTGAGATCATATAGCTGGTTCCCACGAATAGGCAGGAAGATTCTATTGGCCAGCGTGAGAGCCAACAGCTGACTGACACGAATTCTAACTAGTATACAAGCATGCAAAAAAAATGATAGCTGCATTTGTCACAAGTGGGAAAAATTTAAATCTGCATAGCACTTTACTCCTATTGGCTTATTCGCTTGCTTAAACTCAACGTTGATTCTGATTCTGTAGAACTGGGTTGGGTGTGAAAAAGTATTCGTTGTTAACATTTTTTTCATTCGGTTTTTCCAGTTACGATTCCTTTTTTAAAGCTGATCGTTTTGTGTTCATTTTGTTTAGTTCTTTTTTCGTAACAGATTTAATGTTTAGTATAGAACTTAGAAAAAATTCACAGTATGAGATAGGCAAAAAGTAAGGCATGTAGCAACATCAGCACGGCAAAGAGCACTCCTTGAAAGGCAAGAAAGGGCAAAAATATTTTAAGTCAAGTGATAGCGATTGCTGTATGAGTCGATTTTTTAATCAAGCACGGGCAACGCCGAGCCATGCTGCTAGTTGGTAAATAAATTCTTTATCTTGTTAAAGATTACTCGGGTATTTCCTCGACATTATTATACAGCCTTAGTCTTCTTGGCATAGTTAAATCAACTGTTCATTTTAACCCCTGATCTTCACGACACTATACATGTCCCCATAAAAGAAATTCACACGAGTCAAACAGCAATTCTGCAAAAAAGGGGTATTTTGAAGTAACAATAAATTAAAATCTATATAATAAATGCGAATGTCACTGTGCCTCTGTGCCATACTTTTCCAACTTAAAGGGGCAGAACTCTCTAACTTAGGTCATGTACAAATGAAAAAATTACTGTTCTCAAATTCCAATGTTTCAAAATGAATTTTTCCGTGTTTTCAACTTTACTCCTAGAGGCCGTCCCCCAACATATCATACCATTTTGGAATCAGACCGACCCTATGAGCAAATTAAAGATATTCCGGGCCAGACACCAATAGCTTTAGTACATACATCTATAAAATAAATGCGAATGTCAGTGTGTCATTGTGTCACACTTTTTCAACTTTAATCCTAAAGGCTGTAGCCCATCATATAATACCATTTTAGAATCAGGCTGACTCCGTGAGCAAATTAAAAATATTCCGGGATGGTTCCAGACCAGCAATCTTGAAATGTTGGATTCCAAACCTTTCATTACTGTGATTGTTTTCGGTGATTTTTTACGTGATTTTTGCGACGAATGTTTTTTGTACGATAACAATTTTTATAACTTGGAAATAAATTTGGGAATATTCGAAATTAATTGCGAAATCCAGCGAAAGTGAAACATGAAATAAAAATAATTGTTTGCATGGAAAGTAAGGACCTACGTACATCAAAATGACTTTAAATTAAAAGGAAATGAAGAAACAGTAGTCACATTCCATACCACAGGAGACAGCCCGAATATCTGACACGTATTTTTTTTTGTAAACATTTTCTCTTCTTTCCCCTCTTCCATTTCTCTCTCTCTCTCTCTCTCTCTTCTTTTCCCCTTCTTTTTCTCTCTCTCTTCTTCCCATTTCTGTCTCCCTTCTTCCCATTTCTGTCTCCTTTTATCAAATTCTTAACTAGGACTCTTCTTTATTCCTCCTTCCCATTTCTGTCTTTCTTCTTTTGAGTCTTCCCATTTCTAAATTCTTCTTTCTCCCTCCTTCCCATTTTTTTTTCTTCTCTCTATTCCTTCCCATTTCTGTCTTTTGTTTTTTGTTATCCTTCCCTTTTCTTTTTTCTCTTTCTCTCCTCCCTTCCCATTTCTGTCTCTCTTCTTTCTCCTCCCTTCCCATTTCTGTTTCTCTTTTTCCCCCTCCTTCCTATTTCTGTCTCTCTTCTTTCTCCCTCCTTCCCATTTCTGTCTCTCTTCTTTCTCCCTCCTTCCCATTTCTGTCTCTTTTTTTCTCCCTCCTTCCCATTTCTGTCTCTCTTCTTTCTCACTCCTTCCTATTTCTGTCTCTCTTCTTTCTCCCTCCTTCCCATTTCTGTCTCTATTTTTCTCCCTCCTTCCCATTTCTGTCTGTCTTCTTTCTTCCTCCTTCCCATTTCTGTCTGTCTTCTTTCTTCCTCCTTCCCATTTCTGTCTCTCTTCTTTCTCCCTCCTTCCCATTTCTGTCTCTATTTTTCTCCCTCTTTCCCATTTCTGTCTCTATTCTTTCCCCCTCCTTCCCATTTCTGTCTCCCTCTATCAAATTCTTAGCCAGGACTTTAAAAAAATCCTTATTTTAACAGGCAAAGAACGTTTCACTATCCTTAATAAATATAATCTCTCACACACACACACACACATTCATGCGGGTATCAATGAGTAATGAGCTTGTAATTGATTATATTGATATTTTCTTATCAGTGGCTTTCATACTCTCCCTATTACGTCACATAAATGTTATCCCTGCTTCAAGAATCATTGGTTATCTTAATCAGAGAAGAAAATTAAATCATTTTCTGATACTTTCATTCTTTTTCTTTCTATCTTTATCAGTAATTACTGATTATCAGCGGATTAATCTGTTCAACCCTAATTATCTTTCTATATATCTCTCTATTTGATCGTCTTGAAATTAATATTTCTGACCAACATTTTATGGCATTCGTACATCTACCTATTTCTTTTTCTCTGACTTGGTTGATGAAGGTTCCTGTGGGTAATGAAACTGAAAAAAATCTCTTATATATATATATATATATATATATATATATATATATATATATTAAAGACATTTTTATGTATAACGTTCATTTTTATAGATACAAGTATTTAAGTAAATGCTCTGTTTATAATAATAAACAGTATTAAATAACATTTACCGGCCTGAATGTCTGAGAAATTTTCATAGAAAATATTCGTCCTTTGACAGGATTCGAACCTGCATCCTATATGGAACCGTCATTTACGCTGACGTGCCTAACCTCTCGGCCACAAAGGAGCGTTCGGTAGGCAAGGTCGAATTTACTGCTTATAAACTTCAATCTTCCATGAATCTTGTACATTCATAACTGCTCTGGCGTATCAAATGTAAACAAATGACGTCATATATTAAGAAATGGACAATTTATTTATTAAAGACATTGTTATGTTTAACGTTCTTTTTTATAGATACAAGTATTTAAGTAAATGCTCTGTTTATAATAATAAACAGCATTAAATAACATTTACCGGCCTGAACGTCCGAGAAATTTTCATAGAAAATATTCGTCCTTTGACAGGATTCGAACCTGCATCCTATACGGAACCGTCATTTACGCTGACGTGCCTATCCTCTCGGCCACAAAGGAGCGTTCGGTAGGCAAGGTCGGATTTACTGCTTAGGTTAGGATAATGAACAGTGAACTGAAATACATATGACAACACCATGATGTGGCACGTGGTATTCTTGTCTTACTTGGGGTGAAATGCTTTAAAAAATGTGACAGTGAGAGAACAACATTTGGGAATATGAAAAAATATGATGACACCTTTATTCACTGTACTATGTGTCCTTGAGGATAAAGGCGTAAGTTAGATCCAGTGACAGTACCCGAAGAGTGTGAGTTCAATACCTAGTTTAGGCAGTGGAGAACTTGGAGAGGGGAATTAGTGGGAGATAACTGATAACTAACATCCATTAGACATGGCACGTGGAACTAGAACAGTCTACCCCAGCAAGCGAAATAAAGGGTTCAGTTCGATAGTCCAACCACCTGAAGAAGGCCGGAGCATACAACGGCCGAAACGTTGTGATTAAAAACTCTCTCTCTCATATATATATATATATATATATATATATATATATATATATATATACACACACACACACATACATATTTTATTTAGTTGTACTAATGTAATATTTAACATAAGACAAATATTAGTAGATAACACTAATGTGTGGTATTTTTACCTCTGCTAGTACACGGAGAGTTTTCAGGAAATTAAAAAAACGGTAGTCACATTCCACACCACAATAGACTGCTTGGGTATCTGACATGATTTTTTTTTTTTAAACATTTTCACTTTAGTTTTTATACTTACTATGGTTACATTTTTCAATTACTTACTCATGTTAAGTCATTGCAATACAACTAATGAGTGCGATAATAATGAACAATGAACTGAAATGCATATGACAACAACATGATGTGGCACGTGGTATTCTTGTCTTACTTGGGGTGAAATGCTTTAAAAAATTGTGACAGTGTGAGAACAACATCTGGGAATATGAAAATGTCATTTTCATTTCTACAAAATCAATATGAAATAATTAAAGAAAAATGATTCAACTTTTATTATATTCATTATATTTTTCTGGTATAAATGAATAATATCTATGTATATTCAAATAATATTTTCTCTGATCGTCATTATATAATTATATGGCGCAAATATGGTACCAGTCCCTTGCACTTTGAGAAAAAAAAACAACTATAAATATGGCACTGTGACAGACGCAGATAGCCCAAACACGCATGCACGCATATATTAAAGTCAATTTCCGCCTGACAACAGAAGAGGTCACGTGGAAGTCTTGAGATCTGGTCGTCGGATGTTTTACTCATGCTTATATTTTCTTTTATTTTAATATTTTGTATATCTGTACATATTAAAGTTCTTATATCAAAATTCACTACGCCTTATCGTTCATCCTTGAATTGTGGATCAGTATTCGTGCTGAAACCGAAGCGAACCTGGGAAAAGATTACTGTTCGATTATCCTAATAGAACAGTGTTCTTTAAAATATTTTTTTTTTTTTGTTTACTAATTGTCCATTGTCATGATCTGAGAGAGATAGCCTGTATCTCTCCACAGGTGTGATAATGTATATATCTTCTGGTCGGCGTATAAACCCATTCGTCGACTAGGGCATATGACAGCCACATCAGATAGTTTTAGAAGCACTGCTCTACTGAACCCAATGTGACTACAGATTCGAAACACTATAAGCTATTTTTTTACAAAATAAACAACCCATATTAAATAAAATATCATTCACCTGAAAAGATGATATCTTGAAGTGCATATGATATAATTTGTCATTGGTTTTATTTTGTAACCAAGAATTTAATTTCTTCTTTCCTGATCGCTTCCTTTATGATGATCGCGTTGATGACTAAAATTGCCAAAATATTCCGATAGATTAAACAGGATAAAACGTACAATCGATTTAACTTACAAAAAAGAATCAGGCCATGCTTTAATATTTCTTGACGCCATGTTAGTACTCAACCAAAACTACATACAACTAAATGTCTACCGAAAATCCACAAATGAAAACAGCCTTGTAATGGGAGGGGGCTATGGAAAAAAAAAAAGATTGTAACTCTAAATTCTAGGTTGACAGTTTCTTTTCTTGCACTTCTATCTTGTGGAACTCCTTTCCGGATACATGCTTTCCAGATAACTTTAATCTACAAAAATTTAAATGCAATGTCAATCGCTATCTACTGCCCCCCCCATTGCCCTTTCTCTCTTACCGTTCATTATTAATGTTTATGTTCCTAATTATTCCACATACTGTAATACCTTGTTTTTTGTTGTTGTTTTTTGGGTTTTTTTTAGTAATAAACTAAACAGCTTCATTTGATTTTTTTTTACTACGGCTGTGTTGAAACATGTTCTAAATTGGTTAGCAATAAATAGTCGTTGTCGACGGTTTTATCTCGTATCCAAGAATTTAATGTCTTCTCTGCTGATCGCTTCCTATATGATGATCGCGTTGATGGCTAAATTTGCCACCATCATGTAGGTTCGTGACGTGACACCTCCAGTTTCACCAAAACCTGCTCCTGTTATCCATTTATGATAAGTTTATATTTATTATGGTTACATTTTTCAATTACACATATCAAATATCATTGCTATACAACTAACGAATTACATATTATGAACAGAAAAACAGTGAAGTGAAATACGTATGCTAATACTATCATAATGGTGTGGAGTGAAACTGAGCGGAATTCAAACTAGGAATAACAAAAGGCCATTTTCATGAGCAGATATTTCTAATTTGCCCTTTAAAAAAACTCGCTTTACTGTGTGTTGTAGAGTAGTTTTCACAGTGGAGGCTTGTATTTCCTAAAAGGGCTCGACGTACAAAACGTTAGGAACTCGTTATAATAGTTAATGACGCAGCAATCTAGTTGTGATGGTTGATACTTTAATGTCCGACATCGACTGACACACCAACTCACTCTGAGCCCCGGTGACTGCTACTACTACTACTCCTTATTATCTTTGGGAGAGTCTATTAACAATAGAATAGTTATGTTCCGGTATAACACTGTGTTAAAAAAGAATAACCACGTGGATTTTTGTCAACATTTTAAATTAGCATTTAATTATATTTCTGACATGTGGTATTGTAATTATTTACATCGATCGGAATTTTGTCATTGGTTTTATTTTCTATCCAAGAATTTAATTTTTACTACAGTTGTGCAGCAACATGTTCTAATTTGGTTAGAAATAAATAGCCGTTGTCGTCGGCTTTATCTTGCATCCAAAAATTTAATTTCTTCTTTGCTGATCGCTTCCTTTATGATGATCGCGTTGATGGCTAAATTTGCCACCATCATGTAGCTTCAGGTCTAGAAGCTTCCAATTTCACCAATACCTGCTACCGTCATCCATTCCCTATTGCCGTTTTGCTTTGCAAGAGTTGGCTGAAGGTGAAAAAAAATCAGAGCTGATGGCATTAATTTGTTTAAGGTGGACCTCAACTTGCCAGGAAGTGAACGACACACTTGATTTCATGACTTTGCTCTTGGACACTTATGAAATCAGTCATGCAGCATCCAAACTGCAACGGACTGCCGCTGACTGAATTATAATTTCAAGTGGCACCTTCTGTAGCATATCCGCTATGCATAGCCCTCTTCGTTCGTTGAGATCTTTTATAATAGTCATCCTCTTGTTCCACTGTTGGTGTCTTTGGAGTAGATCGCGCTTAGTCTAGGTCCTCGCCTTCGACTTGGCCCCACCAGGAAAAAATAGTAAAATATTTCATAAAGAATATATTTTCAAAAATAAATCAGATATTACTCTGTTATGATCCAGAATGTTGACGAGATTTCATCATTCTAAAACCTGAAAATTCATCCTTATAAATACGACCCTTCTACCACAAGCAAAGACAGTAGAGTAGCAGTAGCAGTAGCAAAAAGTAAAGACACAGAAGTATCACCACCGCTCCGCGAAAATCGACAGCTGACGGTCTCAAACGCTACCCTTAACAACAAAATTCTCCAGACA